TTGCGCTCAAGTCCAAGTCAAGTCTCAAGTCTTTGCGCTCAAGTCCAAGTCAAGTCTCAAGTCAGGATGGGCAAGTTCAAGTCAAGTCCAAGTCCTAAACTTTGACAAAACAAGTCTTAAGCAAGTCATTATGTGCTTTGTAATGACATCGATCAACAGAATAATACTTAATAATCAAACTGCCCTTTATTAGTCACATTAATACTGTAATAATCCATTTTCTCTCTGCTGGTAAAGTAACGTGTTTTTTTCTATTTTAAGAGGGATCAGTAAGGTCAGACTACTGTGACGGTTTGATTCAGAAGGAGTTTAATGTATAAGATATCTGATGTTGAGGTAACCAGAATGTTTATTTCCACTGTGTACAACATGTTATAAGGGACCAGTGGCGAACCGTGTCTATCACAACTGGACCTTCTGTAGACACACACACCCCCCGCCGCCCCCGCCTCCCCGGCGTTATAATGTCCGTCTTTTCACTCAATTGTCGCCTTGAAAAGGGTACTCACCACAATTCCGCAACAACTTCATCTTCACCTGTTGCACTTGCCATTTCAACGTTAAAAACAATAAAATGGCATGAATTGCTTCGTCGCATTCATCTAGGTCCGCTGTCTCGAGCAAGTTAACTAGCGGGCCTTCTAGAATACCCTGGAACCGAGGGAAACTCTGAAAGAATACGCTCATTGGCTACAAATCAATATATGATTGGTTGATCAAACTGTCAGTCCAAACGTACGCTCTCATTCAGTGCAACGGCCAGGGCATTCTATCAAGGATATAGAATACCTTTGTTGAAGGATATTCTACCCAGAGACCCAGAACAAGATCTGATTGGTTGCTTTCTTTTCTAACACAAAACCACTGAAATGCGTAGTGCATGGACCGAGAAGGACAAACAAATCAACGTAACACTGTAATATTACAGATCAACAACACAGATACGATTCTAATGAGAATCGTATCTGTGTTGTTGATCTGTAATATTACAGTGTTACGTTGATTTGTTTGTCCTTCTCGGTCCATGCACTACGCATTTCAGTGGTTTTGTGTTANATTTCCCGGACACGTCTGTGAACAGTGACTTTTGATACCTGGACTCCAGCTTCAGTCCACTGTCTTTGAAGCTCCCCCAAATTCTGGAAGCGACTCTTCTTCACAATGCTGTTAAGGCTGCGGTCATCTCTCTTGGTTGTGCAGCGTTTCCTGCCACATTTCCCCCTTCCAACAGACTTTTTGTGGATGTGCTTTGAAACTGCACTCTGTGAACAGCTTGCTCTTTGAGAAATTTCTTTTTGTGTCTTACCCTCCTGATGGAGGGTGTCAATGACGGTCCTCTGGACAGCAGTCAGATCAGCAGTCTTCCCCATACTTGTGATTTAGTTTACTGAACCAAGCTGAGTGTTTTTCAAGGCTCAGGAAACCCTTGCAGGTGTTTCGAGTTAATTAGACGATTCAAGTGATTCGTTGAACACCCTACTAGTATACTTTTTCATGATATTCTAATATTTAGAGATAGGATATTTGAGTTTTCTTAAGCTGTATGCCATAATCAGCAATATTAAAATAATAAAAGGCTTGCAATATTTCAGTTGATTTGTAATGAATCCAGAATGTATGACTTTTTATTTTATTTTTATTTTTTTAATTGCATTACAGAAAATAAAGAACTTTATCACAATATTCTAATTTTCTGAGACAGTCCTGTATGTTTATATTCCCCTATATTTATAAAAGTGTGTTTAAGTAGTAGGCTGGTCTATACCAGTGTATTCTAACCTATTCTGTATTTGATAGTGTATTATATAGATAATATATAAAATATGCATTTACTGACATTTCTAACTCGATGCCTTGTAAACATGCTTCTGTAACTGACCAACTTCCCAATTTGGAATCAGTAAAGCACATCTATTCTCTTCTACAAACCCCAATTCAATGCAGTTGGGACGTTGTGAAAACGTAAATAAAAACAGAATACGATGATTTGCAAATCCTTTTCAACCAATTGAATACACTACAAAGACAAGATAAATAATGTTCAAACTGATAAACTTTATGTTTTTTTGCAAATATTCTAATTTTTTATTTGATGCCTGCTGTTCAATAAAGCTGGGAAAGGGGCGTGTTTACCACTGTGTTACATCACCTTCTTTTTTATCAACACTCAATAAGCATTTGGGATCTGAGGACACTAATGTTGAAGATTTATTTTTATTTTTTATGTTTTATGTCTTGTCCTTGTATGTTTCTTTGTAAAGCGACCTTGAGGTTATGAAAAGTGCTATATAAATTCAAGTTATTATTATTATTATTATTATTATTAGTAGGTGGAATTATTTCCCATTCTTGCATGATGTACACCTTCAGTTACTCAACAGTCTGGGGTCTCCGTTGTTGTATTTTGCGCTTCATAATGCACCCCACATTTTCAATGGAGACAAGTCTGGACTGCAGGCAGGCCGGTCTAGTACCCTCAATCTTTCACTACGAAGCCACGCTGTTGTAACGTGTGCAGAATGTGGCTTGGCATTGTCCTGCAAGGACGCCCCTGACAAACACGTCGCTTGGATGGCACAGCAGATGTTGCTCTAAAACATGTACTGTATGTCCCACAGAATTAAAGCTCACCTATTATGCTATATTTGAAAAATATATTATAGGGCCATATCTATACAAAACATGTCTGAAGTGTTTTGCTCAAAATACCAAACAGATCACCCATTCTAGCCATGCCTCATACCCCTCTATTTCAGCCCTGTTACTAAAGTGCTGATTCTTTGACTGTAGCTTTCAAATTTGAACTGGGCTGATGCTGGCCCCGCCCCCTTTGAAGCACACAAGACAAGCAGTGAGCTCTGTGAGGAGAAGAGTGGCTGCTCTGCCGGCAGATACTCAGCCAAATGTTGCCGTGATTAAACGCCATATTATGTTCCAAACCACATCAAGGAATATTTCTGAAACAGTATGGAGCTCAAATGCTTCTTTTCGCTTGTGGGTTTACCACAAGGTGAGTTCCTTTTATATCCTGCTTCTTTACACATGCTCTCTCCAGTACAGCGTTAGCTTTGAGTGTTAGCGAAGCTTGCGAATGTAAACAAACACCATACTGCGTCCAAAACAGTCGGGCATTGTTTCTGATAGCAACGTTTCTGATAGAAAATGTCGACCCACGGCCCTATCATTTCATATCGGACGCAAATCTGGATCAGCTCCGTTGTACCCCCGTTTTTAGAGATTAGGGTACGGAGGAAAAGAGAGAGGGTTTTATTTCTGACACTTTGTGAGTTCCCTGACACCGGGGACACATAGTTAAGTATAAAAGACATCAAAAAGTGCATTTTGTATGATTAATGGGCACTATCATAGATGCTGGCTTTTGAACTTTTCTTTCCTCTTTAACCGGACGACACGACATCCATGATTTTTTAAATGTGGACTTATCAGACCACAGCATACTTTTCCACTTTGCGCCAGTCCATCTCAGATGAGCTCGGGCCCAGAAAAGCCGGCGGTGTTTCTGGGTGTGGTTGATATATGGCTTTTGCTTTGTATGCTAGAGTTTTATCTTGCACTTGTGGATTTAGCAACTAACTGTGTTAACTGACGATGAGCCCACGTGGTAATATCCTTTACAGAATGAGGTCGGTTTTTAATTCAGTGCCGTCTGAGGGGTCGAAGGTCACGGCAATCATTGGAGTTTTCGGCCTTGCCGTTTACGTGCAGAAAGTTCTCCGGATTGTCTGAATCTTTTGATGATATTATGGGCTGTAGATGATGAAATCCCTAAATTCCTTGCAATTGTATGTTGAGAAACATTGTTCTTAAACTGTTGGACTGCTTTTCTCACGCAGATGTTCACAAAATGGTGAACCTCGCCCCACCCTTGCTTGTGAAGGAATGATTTCATGGATGATCCTTTTATACCCAATCATGACACTCACCTGTTTCCAATGAATATTCCAAACAGGTGTTTTTTAGCATTCTTCAACTTCCCCAGTCTTTGTTGCCCCTGTCCCAGCTTTTTTGGAATGTGTTGCAGGCATCAAATTCAAAATGAGTGAGTGCAAAAAAACATCAAGTTGATCAGTTTGAACATTATATATCTGGTCTTTGTAGTGTATTCAATTGAATATAGGTCGAAAAGGAATCATTGTATTCTGTTTTTATTTACAATTTACACAACTTCATTGGAGTTTGTATTAAATTATATAATTTGCCACAATACTTTCTAGAGCATCATTCCATTTCGCAATGATGCTCTCAATTTGTCTTGCGTTATACATCCTGCTCCCCTCTCTAAAAGCTCTCTCGGCCAGGTTGTGTCTGTTTAATAAATCCATATAAACACGTAACAAGGGAAGCTTTAGTTGCCGTGTCTCTATTCTCCGGTCCTCCATGCTCCGGTCTCAGGTTCAGTCAACTTTTACTAACTCGTCAAGCCGGAGCCTCTCAGCTACTTCCGGTTTCCGGATAAGGGGTTACCAAAATAAGAGCACTGCGTGTAGCAGTATAATTAAACCTTACAGGTTGTGAGTGACATTAGTTATCATATTTATATATGTTTAGTAGGTTGTGGAAGTGCACTCCAAAATATGGGTTGATCTTCTTTATTGGTATTTATTATTTTGATATTATTTATTTAAATGTAGATATAAATGTGTAATTTATTTTTGTATTGGTTTTTCAGTTGAATTACACTCAAAGTTCAGGGTATTCAACTGTTAAAAACATACTGTTCAAACTTTTTAAGTTCAATAAATGGATGGTTAGGGTTAGGGTTATAATCGTATCAATATTGGCCAAAAATAATCGTGATTATGATTTTTGCCATAATCGAGCAGCCCTAATACTTTCCCTGTCTGGTATCTTTATCATCGGTTAGAGGTCCATGATTTTCTCTCTCAGGGCAATCTCTCTTTTTCCTCTACATATATACAGAAACCAGGTTTTATCATTTACACAACATCACAGACGTCCTGTTCCTGCGTTGTTTCACTTAGAAACATGAAACACCCTTAACCATGTAGGCGTTAGTGTCTTACCGCATCGTTTTCCCGCTCATAGAAGCAGACGTATCTGTTGAGGATTTCAATGAAGAGCTGGACCTGCAGCGAGGGGTCCATACACTGGTTGGCAATCTTCAGGGCTTTCTTTAGGCACTCCATCACACGCTTCCCGTCGCGGATCTGAAAATGGAACAGCATCAGTACGGAGCACTGACAGCTGTGGAACAGCTAGCAAAGTGACTGGGCAGGTTTATATATAACTGATTATTGTTAGAAAACATAAAGAACTGGTTTCCCTTTACTTTAATCTACATTTGGCATTATGGCCTTTTGCGGCATTGTGGTAGCTTTAGGGTTTAAGATGTTGACCATGTGATCAACTTTCCTGTCACTTCTCAAATCAAGACAAAACTTGAATGGATAAAAAGCATCAAATGAGTTAAAGAAATGAAAGTGTGGTTAATGGACAACTGAACATTTAATACCTCTCCCCCACATACATAATGTCCCTATGTGAGTATAGAAGTGTTTCCTACTTGTTTGCACCTGCTGTGGACGCCACTAAATCAACCATACTGATTCTGGACATGTTATTCCAGATGAAGTATGTTTGAAAATAGGAAGAGAATGATCCAACACACCTCCTCCCCGTTCTTCTCGGTGCTGCGTCCGGACCAGAAGAGGTGAGCGCAGATGCTGACGGCCCGGCACTGGTCGGGCTTCTTCAGCAGTTTGGAGGCAGCGAGCGCACACTGAGTCCTCAGAGGCTCGTGGTTCTCCTCGCTGAAACACCGCATCCGCTCAAAGGTCCCGATGATCAGCGTGATGGCTGCCAGCTGCGCTTTGGAGTCACTGATCTCATCCTCGTACAGAGAGAAGGCCTGGGGGGGGGGGGACGCCATTTTTTTCACACGGTGTGTCACAATGGACTCGGTGGACGTTTTATCTGCAAAACAGAAGTTAGCCTACAAGGTACAAATAAATAAACTGAACCTAAATAGAAGGGTTTCTTAGGTCTTTGGTTTCTTCTATTTAATAGTTACATCAAGGGATGGCTCAGCGCTTCCGGTGTTTATAAGAAGTCAACAGTCGACCTGTCTCTTTCTCCTCGTCTATCTCACATTTTGTGTGGTGTTGAATCGCCGCCGTGTGAATAATTGTACATGAATCCATGAGGGTATAACAGAAACACAGCTTATAATTAGAGGGTCACAGTCTTCAGGCGTTCTTAAGCCGGTACATTTTACAGGCCTACGTCTTATGAAACACTGTACCTGGGACATGATTATATCTCTATAAGTTCTACTTGTCGTCGTGGTTCTCAAATGCCGATCTCCCTGCGCTCAGCTGCCCCTGTCAGGAAGAGGCGCAGAGGCAGCTCCGCCAGCTCCGCTTTGATATGATGCACTGATGGTTCTGATGGCGATATACGAGGAAGATCTTCTGACACTTCTTCTCTCACTTGTCATCTGAAGACCAGACCGATGTGGAAAGGCGTATGAAACAGGAGTGAACTCTAAAACACAGTATGTGATGTTAGAGTGAAGGACAGTTTTGCTCACGATGTGGAGTTTCCTTGTATCTGAAGGCCAGCTGGTAGTGCAGCGAACACCAGGTGGTGGGCAGTGTGTAGCGCATCCGCACGACCCCGGGGTCCCCCGCACCAAAGTGTTTCCGGCTGTGTTCAGGATCGTACCCTACTAAAACAAGAGTAGACCTAATCAAAACACACTTTTGCAATTTTATTACCTCTGGAACAAGCTAAACTAGTTTTATACATATTATTATTTTTCTGGTCATTCATTACTGGTCAGTGAGCTGCGTTGATGATACTGACAGGCTGTCAG